TTGTTGAGAAAAGTTGAGCGTTTTAGTTAACAAAATGTTGAGAAAATCTTTATACTTTTTTTCTTTCTTGTAACCAAAATCTATACATGTTTTATCCGGAAAAAACGTAGACATGTTCCAACTTCCAAGTACAAATGTAACACTTATACATTGCACGTTCGCTTTCATATTCACATCTAATCATACAATACATCGTATATACACTATCACTTGTATCCACACGTTACACGTACGTAATTACGTATGTTTGTCATGTGGGAAAATGCGTTTTGCATTTCTTAATTATTTTAATATCCAGAGGATCACCAGAAAGAAACTTAATGATTGCTCACACCCATTTGTCCTTTGTTAGATCTCAGATGCTTTCAAAGTCACAATTTCTTCTGTACTTTCCCTTAATTTTATAACCAATTTCACATCTAAAAATTGACTTTAGTGTCTTCCCGTATACTTGAGCAGTCACCTCCAAGTAATTCTTAAAACAACAAAGGAAATGCAATGCCGTGACCTATTAATTTAATAAAAAAATTAAAGATCATTGATTCGAGTAACACTCAAAAATAAATAATATAAATTATTTTAGTTTTCGACCTAAGAAAAATATATGGATTTAATCCCAAAACTTCTTAATAATAAAAAAATTAGTTTAATGAATTGCCACAAAAAAAAAATATCATAAAAAATATTTTATGCCGGATATATGAGTTTCCATGTTGATTTTATTAATTTATTAGATATCGGTATATTACCCTTTTGCTCTTCATTTTTTTCATATAAATTATATGTCAAATCAGCTTTGTTTGTAATTTAAGTTCGAATATATAAAACATTTAAGGAAAGAAAATTAATACTACCTTTTTTACTTTTGAAGTGATTTTGTGTTACTGTTTTGTGATATAGGTATACTAGATTTTTGTTACGCGTCAACCGCGAAATTAGAATACTCGAAAAAACAAATTTCCGATTTTTATAAAACACAGAAAAAATTAAAGATAATAAAGATAAAATGGTATATCTCCTATATAGATTAATACATTTTTACTTCCAAAATTTAAGTTACATGATATTTAGATTGAATGTAAACATTTTTGAAACGTTTTTGAAGTGTTTTTAAAGCGTTTTTGATATAAATCGAATACGTTTGAGATTGTCTTTTCTTTTAAACTTGAGTTTATCAAAACCAAAAAAAATATATGCATTAGTATGTAAAAATCTTTTCAGATAAAAATCAAAGAAATAATAAAAAGTATTTCCGGAATTCAAACATTAAGGTTTGATTTGTAAAGTTGTATATTTATAACGAAAGCGTAACTTCAATTTGAGTGATATGGATTAAGCGATATAGGATAAATAATTGTATGATCAATCGCATATTGTATCTAAATAGACATTATCACAATTTTTATAAAGTAATTGATATCGGTAATTGATTCATCGCTAAAATATTATGTTATATAAAATTTTAAAATGTTACGTTTTAGTTAGATTTATATATTTGTAACATATGTATTTGTGAGTTCATGTTAAAAAAACAATGTAAATATGTAGAGATTTCCAACATGCATGGCATATAGACTTAACTAAAATGGTTTGATTGCTTAATTGAATTGACGTATCCGTTGAACCCTTCATTGAGTGACACATTTGATTTTTCACTAAATGTCTTCTCAATTAATATATAGAGGATAAGACAATATTTCACATATAAGTATATATCGACGTGATAAAATTCACATTTTGTAAATTATGTCCCAAA